TACATTTTTGAATATATTTAGTTTATTTTTCAATTCTGTGCTTGTCCCCTTTTTTTGTGGTCGTCTTCTACCTCGCGCTTTCTCGCGCTACCGCGTGCTCTCGAACATTTTGGTCCTTCGAGCCGGATCATCGCCGGCAACCGCGAGTTCGGGAGTGCCTCCTCCAACAGAAGACGACCATGAGTCTCGACCAGAGCAACATGGTCAGCAGCCAACACGAACTCTTCAAACGTATCTCCAGAGCCGAAGAGAACCTGAAGAAGATGGGGCAAGCGAACATCACCCTCGCCGCCATCGAGACCCGCATTCGCCTCCTCGACGACCTGTGGGCAAAGTTCGAGAGTCAGCACGACCTGATTCGAAACTGCTACAAGGATTCGAGCCGCTACGCAGAAAGTGAGTACGCTCAATCAGACTTACTCGAGGCCGCCGAGATGGCTTACGTGCAGCAGCGTAGCGTCCTGTCCGGCGAGGCCGATCGCCGCAAGCCCGCGCAAGCCTCCGCGCCGGTGGAGCACGGTACCGACCGCGCGTCGCGAACTTCGCTGCCCCGTATCCAATTACGGGAATTTTCGGGTTCCTACGAGGACTGGCCATCCTTCCGTGATCTCTTCAAATCAGTGATCGGTGAGCAGTCGTCCATCTCGAAAGTCGAACGGTTGCACTATCTGCGGTCATGCCTCAAGGGGCCGGCTGAAAACATAATAAAGTCATTAACGATTACGGGCGAAAATTACGATCGTGCGTGGGAACTGCTCTGCCAGCACTATGAAAATAAGAGAGAGCTGATACGCTCCAACTTCGCCACGTTTACCGCCGTGGCGAAGATGAAAGCCGCTACCGCCGACGAACTCAGCCGCGTCCAGAACGCCGTCACGTCCGCCGTCAATGCGCAAGAGAGCATCGGAAGGCCCATCGACTCGCACGGCATGGACCTGTTTAATCACCTCGTAGTCGAACTGTTTGACCCGCGAACGCGTCTGGAATGGGAGTCCTCCTCGGGAGACTCCTTCGAACCGCCTCACGCTACGTTGATGACCTTCATCAACAAACGGATCCTCACGCTGAACGCAGCGAATCCAAAGACCACTAAACCCGCGAGTGAACAATCACGGTCCGCGAAAACTCACGTCGCGAAGCGGGCCGAGCCTTCTCAGTGTCCGCTCTGCAAGGGGAAGCACTCGCTCATGGGGTGCCCCGACTTCAAGGCCAAGGTGGCCAGTGAGAGAAAGACAGTGGTCGAGACTAATAAGCTCTGCTTCAACTGTCTCGGCAATCATCAGGTGGCGAAGTGCAAGTCAACCCGGAACTGCTTCACGTGCAACGCGCGGCACCACTCGATGTTGCACGACGCGTACGTTTCCGCGACGGCACCCCCCGCGGAAGTCAGCACGCTTTCCGCCGTCGGAAAGGCCGACGACAGTAAGGCGATTCTTCTCGCGACCGCGCGCGTGACTATCGCCGATCGGCACGGAGATCCTCACGAGGTTCGGGTGCTCATCGACCAGGGCTCCGAAGTGTCGATCGTGTCGGAGTCCCTGGTGCAGCGACTACGCCTGCCGCGATCGCGCACGCGAGTGTCTATCTTCGGCATCGGCGGCTCCCAGTCGGGATCCACACGAGGCAAGGTGTCCCTGACCATCAAGTCGAAGACCACCGGAGCCACTCTCACCGCCGTCGCGTTCGTGCTTCCGCGTCTCTCGCTCTACCAGGGCGCCGCGAATAAGTGCTGCACCTCGTGGCCTCACCTCCGAGGGCTTCCTCTGGCCGACCCTCGCTTCGCCGCCAACGACCCAGTCGAGCTGCTGCTGGGCGCCGAGGTGTGCTCGACCATCCTGGAGGATGGTCTCCGCCGAGGCGAACCTCAAACGCCGATCGCTCAGAAAACCATCCTGGGATGGATTCTTTCAGGGGGCTGTGGTGCGACCCTCCACTGTCACCACAGCTCACTCCAGTGTACCGCCGACCATGACTTGGCCGAGCTGGTCCGCCGTTTCTGGGAGCAAGAGAGCGAGCCTCCCGCCTCCGTCGCGCTCACTCCCGAGGAAGAGGAGTGCGAGCAACACTTTGTACGCACCCACGAGCGCACACCCGCTGGCCGGTACGTCGTCCGACTGCCGTTCTCCTCGACGCCGGAGCACCTCGCCGAGACCCGCAAGCCCGCTGAGCGACTACTCAAGGCCATGGAACGCAAGTGCGCCCGGGATCTCCGGTTCGGAGAGCTCTACCGCTCGTTTATGCGGGAGTACGAGGACCTCGGGCACTTGGAAGCCGTAGCACCGTCGGACAAGAACACAACTCGCGGCGTGTGCTACCTCCCACACCACGGCGTGTTGAAAGAAGCCAGCACTACCACCAAATTTCGCGTAGTGTTTAATGGCTCGCAACGCACCAGCTCCGGAGACTCGCTCAACGACCACCTCTTCGCAGGCGCAAATCTCCTGCCGGCACTTGCTGACGTGCTCTTGCGCTGGCGTCGGCACCGCTACGTGATGATCACCGACATCGAGAAGATGTATCGCCAGATCATCGTCCACCCGGAAGATCGTGACCACCAGCGGATCCTGTGGCGAAGTGCCGTCGAACTACTCGTGCGCGTTCTCCGCCTGACAACGGTCACCTATGGCCTCACGTGCTCACCGTGGGTCGCGATTCGCACGCTCCTGCAACTCGCCAAAGACGAAGGGGCTCTGTTTCCGCGTGGCGCGATCGCTCTCGAGGACGACCGATACGTGGACGATGTCGTGACCGGTGCGGACACTATCGACGACGCGGTTGCCGTGCAAACCGAACTGCGCGAACTCTGCACGGCGGGCGGGTTTCCGTTGCGCAAGTGGGCCGCGAACTCCGAAGACGTGCTCGTCGGCATCCCGCAGGAGCACCGCCTTAAACGCGCCCTCCACGTGTGGGAGACAGACGGACACTCCACTCTCGGCCTCCGCTGGCACCCGATGGAAGACGAATTTTCCTTCGCGATTCGTCCGCGCGCAATCACCGTGTTCACAAAGAGGCGCGTCCTCTCGGAAACCGCACGCTTGTTTGATCCATTAGGGTGGCTCACCCCCGTCGTGATCCGAGCGAAAATCCTCATCCAGTCCACCTGGCTGAAGGGGCTAGACTGGGACGCCCCTCTTCCGTCGGCCGACGCTCAACAATGGGGGAGCTTCCTGGAGGAGCTTTCGCGGCTTGAACTCGTTCGCGTGACCCGCTGGCTCGACAGCGGAGCGGATTCAAGAGTCGAGATCCACGGATTCGCCGACGCGTCC